CGTTCAAATGGCTGATTCATTCAGGAATGAAGCAAACGGCTCTCTTATCAATGGGCCTTTGAATCATTGGTTCACACGATTCGTTCAAACAGCTGATTCATTCAGAAACTAAACACTACCGTGCTGCTCGGAGACGCACAACAATATATGGTTTTACAGGTAACATTTTTCGTTGGCAAAATTGAGCAAAAACACACGATATTAACTCTTATTTACTGAACTGTTGTATAAAATCACATTCGCACTCTTGCTATTCGTGACAAAAACAGCACTCGTGTGATATCACTCATCATATGATATAAATATGAGACAAAAACTCATACAGGGGCATTTTTTTCCCCAATATCTTGAATTTTAGGGCATAACTGCATTTATGGAGTTGTTGCCGTGCATCATGTTTGTCAACAGTCAACTGTAGGAAATGTAAGATGACGTACAGGTCTGGGGACGGGGCCAGTGCAATAACGGCGTTAAAATATTTTAAATCGCGTTATTTTTAATAACTAATTAAGTTAACACGTTAAACTGACAGCCCTATTTTATTGCAAAATTTGCACAAATACACAAATATTTAGGTATTTTGAGAGGGTAGGGAGACTCGATTACGTCATTCGCCGTGCTTCATGGGAGTGGGCGGAGCTAAAGATGTCTTGGCACACTTTGCTCGCAGCAACTCTGATTGGTGGAATTTTCTGTACAGCATCATGGGTAATGTAGTTTTTCACGAATTCCGTTGTTAAACAATTATTTTCTAAATAAGTTGAATAGACCAATTTCGGTGTTTGCAAACAGTGATGAGTTTTTTTGTGGGCGGAGCCTATCTGGTGGCAGATAATGAGTTTTTAAGTAGCAGTCTCTGGAAGCCATGGAATAAAAGAATAAAAAAGGAAATTTTGAGTCTATATTTCAAAATTCTGACTTTTTTTCTCACAATTCTGATTTTTTTCTCTCTTTTTTTTTAAATCAACTCGTCATTCTCTCTTTCCCCCTCGGCTCAGAATCATGAGTTTATATCCCACACTTCTGGCTTTTTTTCCCTCAGAATTGACAAACTCGCAATTGTTGAGTTAAATCGAGTTATAAAGTCCGAACTAAGAGATATAAACTTGCATTTGCGAGAATAAAAGTCAGGATTGAGAGATAAAATAGGTAAATGTTATAGGTTTAAATTAGGGCTGTCAAAATTAAAGCGTTAATAACGCATTAACGCAAATTCATTTTAACGGCACTAATTTTATTAACGCACAAATAATGCAGCGCATTTTCTGGTTCCATGGGTCTTAAAAGGTCTTAAATGTAGTTGTATCATATTTAAGGCCATAAAAAGTCTTAAATGGTACAAGAAAGTCTTAATTATGATTTCAGGAGGTCTTAAATTTGGGGAGGGAAAGACAAGAATTGTGATACGGCTTAATGTGACAATTAAACTTCAAAAGGCGATGATTTCATTGAATAAAAATGAACATTGCATGTTTCAAAGTCAGCTGCTGCGCTGCTTTGTTTACATTCAAAGAAACTGCTCAATTTCTGCCGTTCCGACAGCGCCACCTGCTGGCAGATAATGAATATGCATTTTCAATAAACCCGTCTGCTGTTTTTGTTCAGACCAATGTGAACATCCACCCATGTTTTTATGCAGCAAACACGCAGTTGTAAATGTGAACTGGTAGATCGATAAGAAGATAATGCATTATAAAAATCTAAACAATTAAGCCAGTAAAATATAGAAAGACAAGAATTGTGATACGGCTTAATGTGACAATTAAACTTCAAAAGGCGATGATTTCATTGAATAAATATGAACACTGCATGTTTCAAAGTCAGCTGCTGCGCTGCTTTGTTTACATTCAAAGAAACTGCTCGATTTCTGCCGTTCCGACAGCGCCACCTGCTGGCAGATAATGAATGTGCATTTTCAATAAACCCGTCTGCTGTTTTTGTTCAGACCAATGCGAACATCCACCCATGTTTTTATGCAGCAAACACGCAGTTGTAAATGTGAACTGGTAGATCGATAAGAAGATAATGCATTATAAAAATCTAAACAATTAAGCCAGTAAAATATAGTTATATGTTATTTAATTAATATAATAATGGTTTAAATTAATATAATAATTGATACTTTTGACTTGATTCAATTTCTTAAAAATGGTTTTAAAACTTTTTGTTTTTGTGAAAACCTGTATCTGATTTATTTTTGTTGAGTATGGTTTCACTAATAATAAACATAAATTTGCATAAAGCATCAACATTTGTCCATGCCCATATTTATTAGAGTATTAAAAACTTAAAAAGTATTCATTTAAGGTACATTTAGAACAGACTAAAAATGTGCGATTAATAACGAGTGAACTCATGACAATCATGCGATTAATCACGATTAAATATTTTAATCGATTGACAGCCCTAGTTTAAATAGTAGGCTATTTCATACTGTAACTGTAGGGCTAAAACACTGCATATGGGAAAATTATGTAGACCTATTGTTTAAATCAAATTTATGCTTTAAAAGTAGGGTACTCTTAGCAGGTTTCATCCATAGTCTATCGGTTTAAACGTCTGCGTTTAGCTTCAAACGGCGTCTTTGATGACAGTATTCTATAAAAATTATTTGCATTCCGATTCTGACTTCCAAAGGCACAACTATACATTTTTTCTCTTACTCCATGGATTTTACCCGTTTCCCTCCACTTGCTCACAGTGTTTTTCTGCCACCACAATGCGCGCGCAGCTGCAAGGGACCTAACTGTGAACCTCGGAGCTCACAACAGGTCTGCCTTTAAAGGTTCATCAGTTATTAACTGTAGCGCCAAATTTTGAACTAATTTCGAATGTTGCACAATTTTTAATCTTGTGCATATTTATCTCATTTGCATATTTGTGACCCTGGACCACAAAACCAGTCATAAGGGTAAATTTTTTGAAATTGAGATTTATACATCATCTGAAAGCTGAATACTTAAGCTTTCCATTGATGTATGGTTTGTAATGTACAATAATTGGCCGAGATACAACTATTTGAAAATCTGGAATCTGAGGGTGTGAATAAATCAAAATATTGAGAAAATCGCCTTTAAAGTTGTCCAAATGAAGTTCTTAGCAATGCATATATTATATATTTAAATATATTTATGCATTATGTAAATATAATGCATAATATATTTATAGTAGGAAATTTACTAAATATCTTCATGGAACATGATCTTTACTTAATATCCTAATGATTTTTGGCATAAAAGAAAAATCAATAATTTTGACCCATACAATGTATTGTTGGCTATTGCTACAAATATACCCCAGCGACTTAACACTGGTTTTGTGCTCCAGGGTCACATTTAAACATAGCATTTCAGAAAACTTGACTTCATGTACTGTCAATTGATCAAGTGGGGAAAGCAAAATATTACCGTATTCAGAGCCTATTCCCTATGTGTCTTTCCTTGAAGAACAAAAGGCCGTGATATGATTAAAGAAATAGTGCTGCATGCATGAGGCGCTGCACATCTCCAACATGAGACGAGTCGTTTCCAATGTCAAAATAATCATGATGTTTTATTAATCGAACCATGCAGCCCATCTTGCCTCAGAAGCGTTTATCGTACCACTTTCTCTTCATGTACGCGGCAGCGCGGTTTCCGTACAGCATGGCGTTGTGGCCGGCTTCATGGATGCTCAGACTGTAGAGCTGGATGGCTTGAGTCCACTGCTGCTGCGCGAACGCATCATTAGCCTGCAGCTTGATCCTCTCCAGATGAGGAGGAAGATCACTGGAGCCACTGGAGACGCAAAAACAGACCACAGTCACTCCAACTCAGACCAGTGTGTGACAAACGAACAGGAAATTACATCATACAAACTAGGCTTGCCGCGATAGACGGTGCTGACGGTGATACCGTGGTGTTAAGCCGGTTACGTCACTTGACCACTTGATTTTTTATAGTAATAAAAATAATTTAGTTCAGTAAAAGAACAGACACTACAATTAAAAACTGAACGCGGCTGCTCAATGCAGCGTGCCGAACGACAGTCGCATCACAGATCAGATTTCGTTTCTCCAGTGAGGAGAGTGAGTCGAGCTGACTGACAAGAAGAGTGAGGTGAGACAAACAAGACAATCGCGGATGATTTAGTTTCGAAACGAAATGCAAAACTGCCTGTTTGGCAATATTTTGGATTTTGAAAAGCCTGTTGACTTTTGCCGTTTATCTAAGGTGATTTTGGAAGTTTTTTTAAACATTCGTTTCTTATTTAATTGGTTCCACATTGTTTGCTGATTTTTACTTTATTTAAACTGTGTAATTTATTTATTTTATTTGACATCAAGGTGTATGCCGTGCCTCCAAGCTTTCTTACTCGTTTTGCTAATAAACGTTCTACGTTTCTTATTTATTTGGTTATATATTATACATGTTTACTTATTTCCAGTTTGTATACCTATTAAACTTTATGCAAGTTATTTGTTATTTTATATTAGGCATAGCCTGCCCTATAGCATGGTGCATTTTTATTTGTTTTGTTAATAAAAGTTATATGTTTTACATATAGGCTAAAGTGAGTTTGACGTTGTATTTTGTTGTTGCATTCAAGCAATTGACGCCGAACTGCCGCTAATTCGAAAGTGAAAGTAAAATGAGCACGGCGCTTTTAACCTATTTAAAAGAGACGGAAAGCGAGGAAAAGAGGGAAAATTCAAACGAACTAAAAACAAACAATTGCTTTACGCCGAATTGCCGCTATTTCAAAGTGAAAGTAAAATGCGCACGGCGCTTTTAAGCTATTTAAAAGCGAAGGAAAGCAAGGAAAAGAGGGAACGCCCCGCCCCCGCGGTGATACCGGTATTACCGGTGTTGTCACACGTCGATTAACAGGTGGGAAAATTTCCTCACCGTCACAACCCTAATACAAACGTGACGGTGCTGGAATCGACGATGCAGTCACACATAAATCAAACCTACCTGGAAACTGTAGCCAGTTTGAGGCGGCTGGCAGGAAGATGAATCCCATTGGACACACCGTTGGTCGTCTTCCCATTCTGTACCTCTGCAATGAACAAAGAGCAGTCGATTAGTTTGACGATTCTTCCCCGTCTCGTTATCTGCGAGTCTGAGAGCGACATCAGATGTTTTAGTAGCATCTCTTTATTTAAACTTTAGTAGTAAAACGTTGCAATTTCTGTGAATCAAATTCTGTTTCAATTAATCAATTCACTGATTCATTTGCATCATCTGTGCAACAGTGTTATTTTAGTATCATTGAGAGACTATCGTAGTTTATATTAATATTTTGAATCAGTTTTTATTTTAAATTTTAGTAAAAATTTTTAGTAATTTTTTTGTCATTTTTTGTATTTTCTTTACTTGTTCTTTATTTTTTTTTATTTTTATTTTTAGTTATTTTAATACATTAAGTCACACTATAAGAAAAAAAAATATATATATATAAATACAAAAAAATTAAATAAGTTTCTATTTTATTTTATTTCAAGTAACACATTTTTTGTACCTTTAATTTCATTTTAGTCTGAGTTGAATTGAATTTAATTGAATTGAAATTTCCCAAGTCTTTTATTTCCTTTATTGGCACTGGTAATTTATTCCATGCAGTTGCACTGGTGTATAAAAACATTTTTCCCCACCAAACTTCTAAACTTAAATGGATAAATATTAAAATTCATAACAATGCTGTCGTCTCACCATATGAAAGTAATTTTCTAAATATCGTGGAACCACCCAAATGTCACACCCAATAAAAAAAATTTAAAAAAATTATCCACAGTTAAACAAACCCAACTCTTTAAAACATTCACAACGCAAATATGTTCGAGGATGAACTTTTATAAAAATATTCTAATTAGTTTCGAGGCTTTTTTAATTTCTCTTTCATACCCTGGGAACAAGTACTATACCACAAAGCAGTAGCATCATCAAAATGCATAATCAAAGAGCAAGTTCAGTATAGTTTCAGTAAACTATAATAACCTTGCACTTAAACTGTTAAACATTTCCAATCTACTTGGATATTTAGAGCATCTTTTAGTGAAATAAGCAAATGCATAAAGATTTCTTTTAACTTTTACATTTTTTTTTAGCTATATTGCTCACACCTAGTCATTTTTAAGATCCTAAATGCAGTAAAATGACTGACTAATATACATTACCAGTCAAAGGTTTTTAAAGATTAATGTTTTCAATGTCTTCTGTTCACCAAGCCTGCATTTATTTGATCCAAAATGCAGCAGAAGCAGCAATATTGTGAAATATTTTTACTATTTAAAATAGCTGTTTTCTATAATAATAATCAGAAATGTTTCTTGAGCAGCAAATCAGCATATTAGAATGATTTCTGAAGATCATGTGACACTGAAGACTGGAGTAATGATGCTGAAAATACAGCTTTGATCACAGAAATAAATTACAGTTTAACAGATATTCACATAGAAAACAGCTGTTTTAATTAGTAATAATATTTCACAATTTTACTGCTTTTGCTGTATTTAAAATCAAATAAATGCAGGCTTGGTGAGCAGAAGAGACTTCTTTAAAAAAACACTAAAAATCTTACTGACTGCTAGTGTATTTATTATAATAATATTGGCTTCTGTGATAGCATTCACAGCTTACCTGATGATGAGTGGCATTTTTTGGGCAGCAGAAAGGTGTACGGCCTCTGTTTGAACGTCAGATCAAATAAATACACCTGCAAACAGGAAGCAGTATTGCATAACTGTGCATCAGTGCTGCATACTAGCACACTATCAGCAGCAAGAGTCAGTAGTTTACCTGTTCTCCACCCATGTTTACCAGCAGCTCAGTGCCGTCAGGACTGAATGTGACGTAGGTGGCCACCAGAACTCGTAATCTGTTGTTATAATCGGGAAGCTTCACCGGTAAGTGACCTACAAGCGGAGAGAAACATCTGTAGAATGTGTTTTTCCCAATACAGAAGTTTTTCTCATGCTCTCGACAAACCTGCGACATAGTACTGTCCCGCGCCGTCCGGTATCGATTTCCGCTTGTCGCAAAACGTGTGAACACCGGCTGAGCCACTCTGACCCAAAGACTTCCTAGGAGACGGTTCACAAATGTTGCACACTAAAGAAAACATCCCTCAAAATTCTAACAACATGCATCTATAACCAAGACTTCTTTATAAAACAGATAGTTCTGGTGCTTGATTCTGATTGGCTGAGCTGCGTTCGAAGCTGTTGTAAATGACTCTACAAAGTAACATACACCTTTGTTTACGTTTGTCTGTTGCTCGGCAACCACTTTGTAGCAACCACAACTGTTTCTGAGGAACTACATTGTTTGGTGGAAGAATACTGTTTTTATTAATATCATTACACTTTATTTGCTCTGTTTTATTTTGTGAAACCTAACTACGTATATGGAATAACCGTTTTATAAAAGCAATAAGCCCCGTGAAGCCGTGGTTTACAGTGAATTTATAACAGCTAAGGGGGTTTTAGGCACGACGCTTTGCGTCGCCCCTTAGCGGTTATAAATTCACCGTAAACCATGGTTTCTTGGGGCTTATTGCTTTAATAAAATTTATTTTTGTTTTATACTTCTATTATTTCATTCCTGTTCTCCTGTGAATACTGTTAAACTTTAAAGATCTGTCGTGAAGTGAGAATTAATTTCCGGTATCTTACATTATTTCTGAATTTAATAATAAAACATTTATTCACCACTGCGATTCAATAATGCAATTTTGACCAGGTGCGGCTTATTTTCAGGAAAATACGGTAACAGTATTTCAAGCAGTACTCCACCCAGAAATTTTAATTCTGAAAAAAATGGACTCAAAATCTAAAATTGGAAAGCACTGATAGTCTGCCGCAGATCTCAAATCTGATTCATTGTTGCGCTTTTCAGATGTTCAGTTCTGATGACATCAAACCTGATGCAATGTGATTTGAGAGAAGATTGTTAACACATTATGTCTGTTCTGAGCTTAACAATGTATGGACACTCTGCCTCACTCGTGATAATAATGCAATGACCTGTGATTGTGGATCATTCTGATGTCGTAGAGCCGGACGAAGGGCCCGTTGGCTCCCACAACCAGGTAGTTGTTGTCACGAGGGTTGATGGCCAAACATTTGGCTTCCACGAGCTGCCCACAATACTCCGTCAGATCGATTAACACCTCCGAGCGTTTACTGCTTTCTCTCAGATCATACTGCCTGATGGGAAACACAGACGACTCTATAGTAAGAGAGACTGGAAAAGAAAAGTACATTCTGATGCCAGACTAGTTTTCTGCTTTCGTAATAATGTTCACAATCAGACCGGGAACTTCTGTAAAGGACGTAAGCGGAGCCAATTTTGATTTCATGTTCACTTTAAATAAGTGTAAAGGTGTACATTTAACATTTCTGCAGCAGAATCCAGTCATTTTTACACTTCTGTGTGCCGTATGCGTATCAGGGTTATTATTATGAAACCTGAACTAAAACCATCCAAAAACATTTTAGTCACTTGAAATAAAATAAACGTTAACTGGAATTAAAAAAAAACCTTAACCTTATTATATTTCATTTAGTTTCTAAGGCAACATTTCCAATTCACTAAAATAACTAAAATTAAAACTGAAATAAAAATGAATAAAAATGTAATCACACAAATAAATGACAAAAAAAACAACAAATTTACTAAAACTATAACTAAAATTAAAATGGAAAATATAAAAAAAATGATCAAATATACAAATAAAAAAATTAATATCATTAAAAACAACAAAATTACTAAAAACTCAAATATATAAAAAATAAATATTATTAAAAACAACAAAATTACTAAAACTGTAACTAAAATTACAATAAAAATGGAAAATATGAAAATTAAAAACTCAAATATATAAAAGATAAATATTAAAAACAAAATTACTAAAATTAAAATAAAAATGGAAAATATAAAAAAAATGCTCAAATATACAAATAAAAAAATAAATTATTAAAAACAACAAAATTACTAAAACTATAACTAAAATTAAAATAAGAATGAAAAATATGAAAATAAAAACTCAAATATATAAATAAAATAAATAAATATTATTAAAAACAACAAAATTACTAAAATTAAAATAAAATGGAAAATATGAAAATAAAAACTCAAATATATAAATAAATATTATTAAAAACAACAAAATTACTAAAACTATAACTAAAATTTAAATAAAAATGGAAAATATGAAAATAAAAACTAAAATATAGAAATAAAAAAATTAATATTAAAAACTATAATAGTACATAGTTAATATTTACATTTCAATATAAATTACAATTGTACTGTAAAATAAAAAAATACTATTTATTATAATAATGAAATACTTCGTGCAGTGCATCAGACTGTACAGTTAATTAAACTGCTGCCTCTGATTTGATAATCACACTAAGATGCATCACAATTATCATGCAATCTCATTTATTATTTGGCTTTGAACTTGGGTTACCCAAAGCAGCGCTCACGAGGCTATCGGCTCAGACTATTTATTTTACAGTTACATTCGATCTAATTAATTATGAGTTTTTGTTTGACTCAGAACCCCTGTATGACGTCTGAAGCGCAGATTAAAGTCTCCGTACCTGATGACCCCGTCCTCCGCCGCGCTCCAGAAGGTGTTGGGTCTCATGGGAGCCGTGGCGATGCGCTTGACGCGGTTAGTGTGGTCGGAGAACATGTGAGTGGTCTCCTTCGCCGTCAGGTCGTGCACATGCACCTTGGTGTCTGCGGCTCCTGTGATTAAGATCCGGTCCTCAGAGTGAGGCAGGAACTGCAAACACACACGGATGAGAACGCACGTTCATGCATGTTTACTAGACGCTGAGTCAAACACATGGCCTTCACCTTCACGGAGAAGATGTTGGCTGCGTGTCCCGTGTGCATAGTGATGAGCTTGGTGTGCCGGAACGGATCCCAGACGATGGCGTGCTGGTCATCTGAACCTGAGGCCAGGAGGCTGGAAAGAACAAACCCAGTGAGGAAGATCGGCTTGTTGATGTTTGCCTGCCATCATAGTGATGAGCTTGGTGTGCCGGAAGGGATCCCAGACGATGGCGTGCTGGTCATCCGAACCTGAGGCCAGGAGGCTGGAAAGAACAAACCCAGTGAGTTTATGAAGAGACACGGAGACGTGAAGCACTCTGGGATTGAACACTGAACTTACTCTCCTCTCTCGTTCCACTCCAGACAGTTGACGCAGCCAGAGTGACCCTGAAAACAAAGCGGTTACAGTATATTAATAATCCTCGAGCAGACGAAACTCTCCTCTATTCTAAAGAGAGCATTTATTGCCACAACTACAAAACGACAGCAAAGCATCGTCTCTTCACATGTGAAGAGGTGTTTACATTCAAGTCTAATAGAGTAAAAAAAATACAAGTAATAAAAAAAATGCCTGGTATTACTATAATGATAAATATTTTTATCGTGTTATGGCAAAACATTCATAAAACAGGGTTACTATACTATACAATATTTTACTTAACATGAAGTTCATAAGAATGAACAATACTTCATTTTCCACCTTTTTGCAACCCTAAAAACTCTAAAATGCTTACCATGAAAATGTCAATGCATTAAGACATGAAAGTTATTATGCACGTTATTAATAAAAACATACTATGTACGGGCCAAAATTGCACATCAAGCGCTTTCTTTATAATGTTTTGCTAAGGGAAAATGTTTAATGTGTTTGGGCTCATCTGTACATGCACACATATATCACTGCAAGTCACATTAATAGTCTTTATAATGGTTTTCTATAAGAAATCATGCAGTTTAGTGCACTGCATTCATATTCAAGCTTATCTGCTTGCTTATATATAATATGCATCATCTGAATTTGGTCGGTTTATTAGCACAACTGACGGTCAACAGAGGAAAGCTTTGCTTAGGCTAAGGGTGTGACGTCACATGAAAACTATTGCTGCGTCCCAATTCGCATACTATCCGTCCTAAATAGTATTCGAAAATAGAATTAGTATGTCCCAAATCATAGTATGTTTAAAACAGTATGCCAAAGATTCCCGGATGGTCGGTCAGAATTGTAAGTGCAGATCGATGCACACTTTAATGGCTAATATTGCCCACAACACACGGTGGACGAGGATTCCATTAGAACTACAAAACGTGTTAAAAAACTACAAACATGGTGGATACACTCGACCGACGGACAGGTAGATAAACTGATTTGAGTGATAAATGATCAATGTCTAACCTGATGAAAAATATTAATTTGCTATGAGGAAGTAGTACGTCCCAAAGCTTGCCTACTATTCTTCTACACACTCAAAAGTATGTACTTTTTCTTCACAAAAAGACTACATACTTTTAGGGCATAGTATAAGTAGGCGAATTGGGACTCAGCATATGAATTAACACTAGAGTCCGACCGATATATCGTTTTGCCGATATTATCGGCCGATATATTGGTATCGGCGAATATGCCGCCGATATGAAATTTTTTTTACGAATATCGGCCGATATATATCGATATCGGCCTTTTTTACTCCCTAATATCGGTATCGGCCCCAAAAAACCCATATCGGTCGGGCTCTAATTAACACACTCACCTGTAGCTCGGCCTCCAGCCCCAGACGCTTTATAAACGGGTCGGTCACATGGTAGTGTCTCTGGAAGTCCAGAGCCCGGTTCTCCTGCACACACACGAGACACGAGAGCATTACACAGCAGAACCGGTCGATGAGCTGCTGTTGTGTGCTGTACATGCTTCAGACTTGACATGAGCGTGAGTTAATGAACTTCTCCTCTGGATATGTACACAGGGAGGAAGCTCACCCGGATCTGCCGGCGCAGGAGATCACGCGTGACGTTCCTCAGGGCCATGGTCTCACAGCACGCCATCAGCGGACGATCTGGTGCCAAAGATCTGCGATCATGCTGCTTTGCACTCTTTGGAGACAATGCTGGATACCTGCTTGATTAATTTACACTTTCATTTATTGTCAACACATACACTGATGTTCAAAAGTTTGGGATCAGTAAGATTTTTTTATGCTTTTTAAAGAAGTCTCTTCTGCTCATCAAGGCTGCTTTTATTTAACCAAAAATACAGGAAAAACAGTAAAATTGTGAAATATTATTATAATTTAAAATAACTGTTTTCTACGTGAATATCTGTTAAACTGTAATTTATTTCTGTGATGCGCAGCTGTATTTTCAGTAGGGCTGTGCGATTAATCGAAATCGAATCGAAATCGCGATTTGAGACGTTGCGATTTCCTAATCGCAAAGCCTGCGATATGGACGCGATATTACTCTGTTCCAGAGCATATGCATGACTGCCAGCCTTGAGTTGCAGTCTTACTAACCAATAGAGTGAAATCGCAATTTGATATTTTCCCCCAAATCGCACAGCTGTATTTTCAGCATCATTACTCCAGTCTTCAGTGTCACATGATCTTCAGAAATCATTCTAATATGCTGATTTCAGGATTCTTTGATGAATAAAGTTAAAAGAACAGCATTATTTAAAATAGAAAGAAGTACTTTTATTCAGCAAGGATGTGTTAAATTGATAAAAAGTGATAATAAAGACTTATATTGTTAGAAAAGATTTCTATTTTAAGTAAATGCTGTTCTTTTTAACTTTTTATTCATCAAAGAATCCTGAAAAAAGTTTCAAAGCTTCCAAAACAATATTAAGCAGCAAACATTGATAATAAATCAGCATATTATACTGATTTCTGAAGATCATGTGACACTGAAGACTGGAGTAATGATGCTGAAAATACAGCTGCGCATCACAGAAATACATTACAGTTTAACAGATATTCACATAGAAAACAGTTATTTTAAATTGTAATATTATTTCACAATTTTACAGTTTTTCCTGCATTTTTGGTTAAATAAATGCAGCCATGATGAGCAGAAAATATATATATAAGGTCTGACCGATTATTTAAACACATTTTTTGGAGTCAAATCTGCATTTAAGTCAAGACACTACATGCAAAAACATTTTTATGCACTTGTCAATTGTAATTTTTATGCTATTTGTCCTTATAACTACGAAAAAAACAACCAAAAAATATGTTTAAGTGTAAAATACATTATTTGCATCTGTAGATTTCGTTTGCAGTATATATTTCTTTAAAGGCGGTACGTTTTTTTCCTCCACTTCAGCAGCACTTTACAGTTTATAGTTGTTGACAGTATTGTTCTGATTTATGAAGTGATATTTTTTACTCCATAAGATGTCTTATGTACATCTAGCGGAAAGAAAACATCCAGAATACACATTTAAGTGTTTATTGTATTGCACTTTATCAATATGCGTCTGTAGATTTCCATTACAAGAGCTTTATTCCTCTCTATATTCTGGAGGTTTGTTCATATTTCATTCACTCTGATCTATACAACATTTTACTCCTAAAAACAGGGTGGAAATTTAGTTTCTCTCTGGCTGTCGACAGAATTTTCTGATTTATGGAGTGATAAAAATTTATATATATATATATATTAAAAAAAACACTAACTACTGCATATTTAATTAGATAAGGAATTATTTACATACTTTGAACATAATATTTCAGAATACTAAAAATGCAATCTATCAACTGGGAAAGTATGGTGAGATCTCTTAATGTAAAGACACCTGTAGTGTATTAATAATTAAAAACTGGAGGAATTATTATATTATTATTATATGCAAGTTATATAATGACATTCGCGATTTGCTTTTTTAGGTTTAGTTTACCAAGCAGGCCTTATAGCTTTATCGTCAGCAGTACTAAAGTGTAAGTTTAAAGCACATAAACGTGTTAATGTGACTGATTAATCGGACTGTCAAAACATAAACAACCGCAGACTAGCATTAGCCGACTAGCGACCGCTGCAAAACTACACATTTAAACAAACCCGAACACTTCTGACAGCAGCCAGCAGCGTGCTGCTTATTACAGTTTGTCCAAAGCGAGATTTATTGACAAATAACTCCCAGATATGAGTGAAGTGTGTGAGATATCGTCTTACCTCAGAGTCTGTCCCCGGCCTTATGTCTGCGCAGCGCGATGAAACACGCGAGGTTTACGCTGGAAACTCAGCTGTGCTTTCGGTAGCTGGTCTCAACGCTTTAACCATCCGCTGAACAGTGCCTACAGCTAATAAAGGACTAGTTGTGATGAAGTATTGGTGAGATTTTGAAGCCACATTACTAGGGAGCTTCCTCGACTGAGCGCCTGACAGCGCGGGTTGCCAGATCCGATCAAGTGCAGCCGAGCGCTCTTCATCTTCAGCGAATCAACTGATACTTTCGATTTTACACGCATGTAATTGTGCTTGTGTTATATTCACCTTGCAGCGAAGCATGATTAATTATCAAATATTCAATTACATTACTTGTCTTAATTACTTACTTAATTATTTAATTTACATCGATTACTAAAAATAATGTATTTATGCGAATACTACCTACGTTTACGGCTATGAAGAAGGAATATCTGGCAACACTAAAGTGTTTTCAAGGCATTTCCTGTTTTGTACAATTACAAAATACAAGTCACTACTAGACTTGTTTTTGTTTGTGCACTTTTGTTGTCACTTTATATGAAAATCTTAAGTAAAAAAGTTAATTATTATTATTATTATTATTATTTAAAGGTTATTATAGTTAACTAAAACTATACTTAAAACCATTAATAAAGTTAAACTACTGACAGACTTGTTCATGGTATTTCAGTTTTGAAAAATAAAAGACAAAGCTTAAGCTAAAAACATTCAATTAAAGGAACTAAGTTACAGGCAAAAAACAAATAAAATATACATCTATTTTAGCTATTCATCAATGCAACACTTAGGTTTTCTCATTAATGTTTAGCACTAAAATAATAAAAACTAAAAAATTCTGTAAGTTAAAATAAAATTAAACTTTAAGTGAAATGAAGTCAAATATAAAAAATATTTTAAAAATAAAATTTTTATTTCAGCTAGTCATCAAGACACCATTTTCCCTTTTCGTTTAGTTTAACATTTAGCACTAAAATAACAAAACTAAACTAACTAAAACGATAAAAAAAAAATTGTTACTTGAAATAAAATAAATGTTAACTGAAATAAAAAATAGAAATAAAATATTATAAAATAAAAATTTAATTAATCTTATTTCAGTTAGTTGCCAAGGCAACATTTCACATTTTTGTTTAGTTCAACTTGGAGTACTAAAATAACTAAAACCATAAAATATAAAAATATTAAATATTATGTATAAAATATAATATATTATATAAAAAATATAAAAAAGTATATGAAATATAAAAGATAAAAATTAATAACAACTATATAGTTTCATAGATTAAAAAATTAATAGAAATAACAAAAACTCACAACAAAATGATTAAAACTTTAACTAAAATTACAGCAAAAACAGAAAACATAAAAATAAAATAACATTCAAAATATTAACAAAAACAATAGTAGTATCTCAGTGATACTAAAATAACACTGGTTCAGGGTTACCGTCGATATCTGTGAGCTGGTTCTGTTGCCCTTCTGTCCTCTCTCTTGGCCGGCTGGAGCTCTGACCACTTTCTGGAGAGCAATGCTGCTTCCATCGAGCAGCTGTACGACAGATGACTTTGATCGATTTCAGTAGTTTGACAGTTGAGCTGTTCTGATTAAAGACTCTAAGCTCATTGAGACGCATTATCTGACCGCCTGCGTCCCGACGTCCACCGTCTCCACGCTTCCTCCAATAAGACGCAGTTTCTCTGCAGTCATGTCCATCATTCTGTGTAGGTCTTAGTAACGCTTCGTAACATCGCTGGAGTCGCTCTCCACAGCGACCCACTTTCTCAGAGTCTGAACCACACTCAGGGTTGAGCAGAACTGAGAATTACAGAACTGGCGATTTCGATTCATGAGTGTTGAATTTGTCACACGGGATGCTGAATTGAATCTGAATTGGAATGACAGGAGGAAGGACTGAATGAATTTCATTAGTCCACCACAAAACACAGATACAGCTGTTTGTTCATGTTGTTTGGCTTCGTTTTGTATGGAGCTCCGCACTTGACATCCAGGACATATATATATATATTGTGGCCACAAATTATATCATACTGTATGTCGTTTTTCGTGGCCAAGAATTTTGTTCTTATCAACGCAATAATTTGTTCCCTCGTTTTAGTAATTTGTTCCCTCATTTTAAAAAGTCATGGCCACGCTGTACTAATTCATTCTTTTATTTTAATGAAATCAAAACTAGGGAACGAATAAGTTCAAGATGGTCACAAGTTACTAAACCAAGGCATTGCTTTACTAAAACAAGCAAACAATTTACTAAAACGAGGGAACGATTTACTAAAACCAGTGAACGATTACTAAAACGAGTGAACAATTTACTAAAACGAGGGAACAATTTACTAAAACGAGAGAACGATTACTAAAACGAGTGAACAATTTACTAAAACGAGGGAACAATTTACTAAAACGAGAGAACGATTACTAAAACGAGTGAACAATTTACTAAAACGAGGGAACAATTTACTAAAACGAGAGAACGATTACTAAAACGAGTGAACAATTTACTAAAACGAGGGAACAATTTACTAAAACGAGAGAACGATTACTAAAACGAGTGAACAATTTACTAAAACGAGGGAACAATTTACTAAAACGAGAGAACGATTACTAAAACGAGTGAACAATTTACTAAAACGAGGGAACAATTTACAAAATTAGGAAACAATTTACTAAAATGAGTGAACGATTTACTAAAACGAGTGAACGATTACTAAAACGAGTGAACAATTTACTAAAACGAGGGAACAATTTACTAAAACGAGAGAACGATTACTAAAACGAGTGAACAATTTACTAAAACGAGAGAACGATTACTAAAACGAGTGAACAATTACTAAAACGAGTGAACAATTTACTAAAACGAGGGAACAATTTACAAATTTACTAAAAAATTTACTAAAATGAGTGAACGATTTACTAAAACGAGTGAACGATTTACTAAAATTAGGAAAATTAGGAATAAAATGAGTGAACGATTTACTAAAACGAGTGAACGATTTACTAAAATTAGGAAACAATTTACTAAAATGAGTGAACGATTTACTAAAACGAGTGAACGATTTACTAAAA